GATATCACATATTTCCCTCTCTCTTGAAGAAGATTCAACCTCGAATCTTTATAGAATCTTGAACCACGATCAGCACCACTCTTCTTGGCCTTGGAATTAAATCGTCTTGGCATTGTTGATTGTATTATTTTGAATCATCGTGACGAGAGCGGGCTTGATTTCAAAGTTGTTGGCAACCCAGGGGTGGATGTAGGATGGTAGATTAGATATCCGCCCCCCCGTGGGGCTGATAAACCATTATCTGTACATGTTATAATCTCATTATTGAGCCGGTTGAGAGTCGATTCTTGTGTTTTAAGTTGATTTCACGCTAGGTTCTGCGCATACATGGGCGTTGGGCCGTGCTTGGGTCAGCACAGCACGGGCACGCTTCGGGCCCATTTATTTCCTGTCATGCTTGGCACGGCCCGTCAGTTTTCGTGTCATGCCATGCAAGCCCATTTGTTAACTTTGCTAGGCCCGGCCCAGGCCCGGGCATGGTTCGAATCGTGTCGTGCCTATTCATGCTCGTGCCATGCTCGTATTCGTGTTTAATGTAAAGGACGAAAACAAAAGAGAGAATGAAAAATAAGGTGAAAATTGGACGGAGGAAGATAATCTCAATCGATAATGTTTGAGAAAAGTAACAAATCAGGGGGAAAGGAAAATTGGAAGTATAGCGAGTGTGATTTGGCTTTGTTTAATTTTTTATCCATTTTTACGTATGTTAGTAATTACGTATATATCTTTATGACACTTCTAACAACAAAAAATAATTATTTTTCTACTTGTGTTTGTAATATTTGAACCTATAATTCTTTTTATATTTATTTTCTATCAAATAAATATGATTTTCGTGCAATGTTCGTTCTTGTACTCAATAAAGTCTCAAAAATATTAGGTCGACACGACCCACTTATATACCTTGTCGTGCTCGTGCACATGAAGTTTAGGCCCGGCACGACCCATAAATTATTCTTGCTCGTGCCGGGCTGGCCCATTTATTTCGTGCCCGTGCTCATGTCGTGCTAGCCCGTGGGCTGCACGGCCCGGTGCCCATGTACAGTTGTGCGTTTATGTCATATTTCAGGACTTGGCGTGGACATGGAGGCGTGGAAGCGAGTTTCGGGTCAAAAAAATGGAGAAGGGGTCTCAAATACCCGACCGGGTATAATCAGCTGGGCGACCGGGTTTTGATGATTTGGAGGCCCGAGAAGCAGAAGGGGTCCCGGTCGAGGGGCTAAAATACCCAATCGGGTATTTCAACCCAGGATCGGGTATTGCCCCTTCCCTTGTGCGCAACGTTTCCAAATACCTAGACGGTCCCTATGAATACCTGACCAGGTAATTAGACCGGGTATCACGAGCGGCTGCTGTTTCAAGCAAGGTTTGGGCTCTTTGGGAAAAGGAATCCGAGTTTTGGAAAAAGAAAGCAGAAACCTAGAGAGAGAAAGTGATGAACAAAGCCTCCAAGTGACATGGAGCGAGATTCAACATCATTGGAGCTCGATTGAAGCTTGGAGAAGTGCCGATTGATAACTAGGAGCTGATTTTCATCCTTCACATAATGATTTCCGCATCTGAAGCTGATTTCTCTTCTTTCTCTTTGGAGTAAACTCTCTCTCACTTGAGTATGAAGAACCCTAGATTTGTATGTTAGGTTTGGTTGTATGAACCTAAGTATATGTTCTTTGACATCGATTATATTCAATTGAGGCATGATTTTCTGAATTGCATGAATCCTGATAAAATTCCTGTAGTTCCTGCTTTAACCTAGAAAAAAAATATTTGCCTAGGTTGATAGAGCACCCTTAATTGAAGTTGGTGAATTGACTACCATTTCCAGCCTATCTACTATGCCTCGAAGACCCTCAATGACGCCCAGGAGAACTACACCACCATAGAGAAGGAGCTGCTAGCGGTGGTGTTTGCCTTCAAGAAGTTTCGCCCTTATCTGGTATTGTCTCATGTGATAGTGTACACGGATCACCCCGCTATAAGATACATGATGAGCAAGGTCGATGCCAAGCCTTGCCTCATACGATGGATCTTGTTACTGCAAGAGTTTGACATCGAGATCCGGGACAAGAAGGGAGCCAAAAATGTTGCTACTATTCATCTCTCCCGGTTGGACGCACTTCCTACGGACAACTTCGAGGAGGAGATCAACGACTCCTTTCCAAATGAGCGATTGATGATGATGTGCTTGGTGGAGAGTGTCACCCTTTGGTTCTCCGATTTCGTCAACTATCTGGTTGGTCAGTAGCTGCCCAAGGGGATGACAACTCACGCCACGAGGAAGTTCTTCTGCGACCTGAAGCACTACTTCTGGGATGATCCGCATCTCTTCAGGATCGGAGCCGACAAGGTCATTCGTCGCTATGTCATGGACAATGAGATGGAGGGCATTCTGTCTCATTGCCATGCGGGACCTACTGGATGGCACCATGGCTGTAACCGCACGGCGAGAAAGTTACTACAGTAGGGCTTCTACTGGCCCTCGCTCTTCAAGGATGCCGACACCTTTGCAAGTAGGTGAGACCGATGCCAGAGGTCATGTAACATCCTTTCCCGTGATGAGATGCCCCAGAAAGTGTTTATTACTTGTGACATTTTTGATTTATAGGGTATCTTAATTGATGTTGATTACATCTCCAGGTGTGTTGAAGTGCATGCTTTGCTCACCAATGATGCTAGACGTGTTTGCCAGTTTTTTAAGCAGTTGTTCTCCCGATTCGTGACGCCTAGAGCCATCATTAGCATAGAGGCACCCATTTTCAGGGCCAATTCGATAAACTCCTCTCTCGTTATCTTTTCACTCACAAGGTTTCTGTGGCCTACCACCCCTAAACGAGTGGTCAGGCTAAGCTGACGAATCATAAGTTTAAGCACATAATTGTGAAAACGGTGTGTTGGAAACCACACTCTCAATCGCTAGGCCAAGGAATGCATTATAGGCTACAATTTTAGCCCTCTTTGCCCAAACAATTGAGGGTTGCCTTACCTTCTCTCTCAAACCGGGGTTGGGATGGCTTAATGACAATTAACCTAGGTGTTCAATTCGAGTTAAGAGGTTTGCCCTACATTAACCTAGATAAGAGGCATAGAATGCCCAAGAAAACCCATCTCAATTTGAGCCTCTTAAGATAAGGGTGTTTCCCTCTAAGCTAGGTTAGAATAGCACAATAGAATGCCAAGCACACACAATGCACAATCACCATGAAAAATACCTCAAACCTTAAATTAAACACCACCCACACACAATCATTCAATCCACACAATCAACTACAAGGTAGAAGTTAGGGTTCTACAACACCCAAGTGAAAAAGGGAGACTACTCCATGCTAGACAAAGGAAGAACACAAAGGAAAAAAGAAAAAAAAAATCATCATTGTGATGACTCAATCCTTCATTGTGCTTGTAGAGATCCTCTCTTGAAGAGGAGCTTCCCAAATCTTGACTTGGAGCAAACCCTAGCCTCCTCTCCCTCTTGGTTCGTGGCTTTCTCTCTCTAGGTTTTCAAGAAGAAAAAGAAGGTATCTCTCACTTTGGCTCCCCCTTCTTCCTCATTTCAGCTCTCATTTTATAGACTGGTCGTGCCAGTTCACGGTCCCAGTTCACGGCCGTGAACATCTGGCCTGGACCGTGAGCACAACCAAAACACTGCACTTCAATTATCGAGTTCGAGGTCCATGGCTTCAGTTCACGGTCTTACGACTGTGAACTGCCTCGGCGACAGTAACCTCCGAAAACTCTCTGGACCCTCTTCAGTTCGCGGTTTGTGGCTTCATTTCACGGTTCTGATGACCGTGAACTCACAGCTTGGACCGTGAACAGCGGCTGCTTCCTCCTCTTTGCACGATCCTCACACCTTTTCTTCCAACTTTCGACTCCGGGGTTGGTTCCACCTGTAAGACTCTGAAAACACATTGAAACACGTCAAACCTAGCGTAAAACCACCCTTTTTGGAGCTCAAATGCCACAAACGCAAAAGAGAAACGAGGATAAAAAGTGTACATTTAGGCCCGAATCAATAGGATTGAGATCGCCCCTGAAGTGTCGCGCCAGCTGGGTAATCACGTGATCGCATGCAAGAGGTCACTGGTTTGTGGAGATCTTGTGGAATGTCTTCTCTAGTATCGAACCCAAGTTTCGGTTCTTGTTCGATTACCCCATCTTGAGGAAAACTCCTTACCTTAGTCTAGCTCTGAATTTAGCTATCCCATACGACATCACTGACATCTCGTCGCCTATAATTGATGTCCTCCAGGCTCCAATTGGTAGATCATAGTCCGCCACACCATTGAGTCATCTCGAGGCCATAGAGTTGTTGAAGACCATCGATTTCCAGGTTGGTGTAGCCACTTCTTCATCATCAACAATGTCTAAGCCCAACAATTTCTCTTTGTTCTCTCAATCTATAAGTAGCGTCGCCCTCTCCCTTTTCACGTCATCCATTACTTCCTTATACTGTTTTTCAATTGCAAGAGTTCTTACTCCTATTACCCCTAAGTTCCTCTATATTATATAAATTTAATCATTGTTATTCCTAGTTTGTACATGGCTTAACTCCGAAATCGATTAAGATCATTATTTACTGAGTTGGAGCCCAACGACGGGTAAGTCCAATAAGCTAACACTACTCACTTGTTAGCCAAATTGCAGAATCCACAATCCAGCTTACCGCCATAATAATTAGTTGTAACTTTTAAGGTAATATTACTAGCTTAGTTCTCGTAGTTATGTACTTATAAATTTTCGACCTAAGAGTTTAAATTTTACTCATATGTCATTATCGAACTTCTTCCACCAAATTGTTAACCATGACCAATAAGTTTACTCCAACTGAACCTAAATCCACAATTTTATTACAAGTTGTAGTTAAACTCAAAAGTCAGAGTGTTACCATTTCCGTCCCCGTGATCTTTAGTTGCCTTCAAAACCTTTTTTCCATTAACTTTTTTTTTTGTGGATAACTAATTAAGGACAGTTTATAAAATAAACATTAGACCAATCGTAATCTGCCACGTAATTAGGTTGGGCTAAAAATTGATCGGTATCCGAAATTTGGAATCTACGAGTACTCCCTTTCCAGTCGTACGTGGGCCAAACCTACAGCGATCAACCCTTGTCTTTCTCCGGCCGGAATTACCTATCTCTTCCCGAATACAACCCGCAGTCTTTGCCGCAAGGGCTTCGACTCCCCTTGTCCCTGCTCTCCAGGTTAAACAACCCAGAAGTCTGAATTCTCTTGTCCATCCACTCCTGAATTTGTCTACCCATTTGTGTTACCAAGTTTCCTTCTTTCTTTGTACTTCCTGGCGGTTCCCTCTCTCGCTTTCGCCTGATTTCCGCCATGGCTGATAGGAACGAAGATCAAAAGAACGATCCTTTCCTCCTGCAGTACCAACCGTCGGAACTTCGAATCGCGTGCGAATTCTTCAACGAGTGGCTCCCTTTTCTTTGTCGAGGTCTATGCCTCAACTGCTCCAGAACTATATCAGATCGAATTCGCTCTCTCCAGCCAGGTACTTCGAACCAATATAGGATTGCAACCTACGTATTGAAAACTAGGGTTTTCCGTTTAAGTATTCTCGGATTAATTGGGACTTTCATTTGTTCGTTTACCAGAACGTGATAGTTCATGGGAGCAATTACGTTTGGAGAAAACCGCAGTCTCTTCAATTGCGAGTGCTGCCAAATCTTGTGAGAATTGCGTAGAAGATCACGAGGACGAGAAATTTGATCAGAATTCGTTAGGAAGTTGGAAAGATGGAGCTAATGGATGGTCTAATTCGGTCCCGGAAGATTCTGCTAGTAGGGGATTGCTTGGTAAGCCGCCAGGAGCTGATAATAATACCTCAGGGCCTCGTATTTCTTGGGCGGACATGGCGCAAGAAGATGAATTTGTGGATGATGAGGAACAACTTGATTCAAGTAAAGAAGCAGCTGGTCAAGGTGGTTCTCCCCTGATTACGAAAGCGGTGGAGAAGCCTCAGTTACCGAGGGAGCAGAGAGAGTACATTCGATTCATGAATGTGAAGAGGAAGAAAGATTTTATGTGCTTCGAGAGGGTTCATGGCAAGTTGATGAATATTCTCGACGGACTTGAACTACACACAGGTGTTTTCAGTGCCGCAGAGCAGAAGAGGATAGTCGATCGTGTTTTTGAACTGAAGGAAATGGGCATGAAAGGAGAGTTGAAAGGTATGTATCCTATTGCTCCATTGTCTTTGGTCCTTTAGTTCGTTCTTTAGGTGAGATGTCACTCAATTCTAAGCGTGTCTATGCTGTTTCTGAGTTCTTAGCAACTGTTATTGAAGAGCTTTAAACCATCTCTTTTTCCTCCCTTTCCTTCAACCGTTCCATGTGATTGCTTTCTTTGTTATAATCTTCGTGCGATCTATATCATATTCCACGTCACTGAACTTAATTGGTGGCTGAGAGAGGGAAGTCAAACCTTTGTTCATTTACATTTTGCCAATCATAGATGCTTTAGGAGGGATAGACATTGATCTAGCACAGGACTTAGGTTGTGCTGCAGTAGAGGCTTGCTTTCTAACTGTGCAGTCGGATAATTAACAGTGCTTTGGGCAGCGGCGGATCCAGGAATTCTACGTAGGGGTGTCCTCTATAAAAAAATTAAATTAAATATTAGAATTAAATTAAATAATTATTAAATTTGAAAATATCTAACTAATTAAAGTTTCATTAAAAGTTCAGACGTGTTTCGTCAAATGATAAAATGCATTCGGTGTTTATATTGCTCAACAAATATCTCTTGAAAATTGAGTTTTAATCGTTAGGCTTTGAAAATAATTTGAGATAAGAATAACATTATATTATTATTTTTGGATCTAAAACACACTAACAAATGAGTTGTAGCGTAATTGAAAGCATATTAACTAATAGTGGCAGTGTCCCAAATTTAAATCACATAAACTACTACTTAAATATTATTTGTACCAATACGCAAACTACTACGGGAGATTGGATAATCATTTTTCCAAATTTTAAAGGTGTCCCACTACCACTTAAAACATTTTTTTCTCATACGCAAACTACTATCGTAGATTGAATAATCGTGTTTCCAAATTTTAAGGGTGTCCCGCATGTATCCGCCACTGGCTTTGGGTATCCGTTACTTGTGTGTATTCACGTTTTATTGGAGCGCTCTTTTGTTAATCACCTCTGCTGTTGCCATAAACCTTTCTATCTAATTATATTTGTTTCATGTTATGTTGTAAGAACTACGGTTATTGGGCATCCGGCGATTATTTTACCCTGATCGACTAAAAGAGAATTGAGAGAGTTTTACAGGATTAGAATAGGAAGAACATAATCGGTAGCTAGGGATCTGAAAGAATTGGGGAAGAATTGGAAAGAATGGCCGATGACCTTCAAGGAGAGGCGAGATTTCAGAGGATTGGAGGATAATAGGGTTTAGGGATACTTTTCTGTAATATTCTGAAGGGTATAACAACCAATATATATAGGGATATAAAGGGAAATAATCGAAACCCTAATAATATTGGTGCAGCGGCAGCAGGAGCTTCTTCTTCAGAGACAGAAGCAATGACATTGGTGGAGCGGCGCTTGCAGTTCGCATTTAGATTATCAAGGTCAGCCTGGAATTCCGCATTTGATGTTCGAGAGTTGCCTTTGGGTGACGATGTCACCGTGCAATTTATCACGGACAGCTTGAAGCCTTGCCTTCAATCGTTCGTGGCTTGCCTATTGTTTGGCATTAAAGGCATAGAACACCTGCTGCATCTTATTGAGAATAGTGTTTCTCGTGGGATTTGCTGGGAACTTGGCATAGTTTTCATGTTGGTGCCTGCAACCATATGCTGATACCACTTTCAGAACTACAGTTATTGGGAACCTGAAGATTTTCTTGCCGGTATCGACTAGAAGAGAATTGGGAGATATTTAGGGATTTAGAATAGGAAGAGCAAAATTGGGATTAGGGTTTGAGACAAATTTGGGAAGAATGTCTGGCGACCTTTAGGGAGAGACGAGATTTCAGAGGATTTGAGGAGAATAGTGTTTAGAGGTACTTTTCTGTAATATTTCTTATTAATCTGAAAGGTATAACAGCCTACATATGTAGGGAAATAACAGAAAACCCCTAATAATGACCTAATCCTACCGAATCACTTAATAAACAAGTAATGTAGTAATTATCCCTATTTAGTTTATAACTATAATTATTGCGTGAGGAAGAAGAAAGTACAGTAATCGAACCCAAGAATCAACTGATAATGAGCTTGCCTGCGGCAACCGCAGCGTCGAGTACTGGTAAATAACGATTAATTATTATTATTATTATTATTATTATTATCATAATTATAAATAAAAACATGTTTCTAAAACATGTTGTATACTGCATATGGTTTCTATGTGAACAGTTCTTCCTCATCAAAGATCCTTTGGTGGTTGGTTTTCAACTAACTGGTATTAAGGTATTTCAATTAACTAATTTAAGCAGTCTAATTCATTGTTCAGAGTGCACATTTTCTGCTCCTCAGAAGTGGATGAGGGGCAAAGGGCGTGTAACTCTACAGTTTGGCTGCTGCTATAACTATGCGACAGTAAGTTGTCTTGATCCATTACCCTTCCTGATGCAAATGTTTATTTATGCTCGTACAAGAGTTTTGAAGTTGAACATTTGGCATGCAGGATAGAACTGGTAATCCACCTGGCATTCTGAAGAATGAAATGGTTGATCCGATACCTCAACTTTTAAAAGTTATAATCAGAAGATTGGTGAAATGGCATGTTCTGCCTCCAACGTGTGTGCCAGACAGTTGTATTGTCAACATTTACGAAGAAGGGGACTGCATACCACCCCACATTGACAACCACGATTTTCTCCGACCATTTTGCACCGTATCTTTTGTTAGTGAGTGCAATATTGTGTTCGGAACCAAATTAGAGATTTTAGGTCCTGGTGAGTTCTCCGGATCAGTAGCGATTCCTTTGCCTGTAGGGTAAGTCCGACTAGACAATTTTTTTTCTTGAAATTCATTTCCCATATTTTTTTGTTGTTTTCCCTTTTCGTTTCATTTCATTATGACATATTGATTACCTTTCAGGTCTGTTCTTGTATTGAATGGAAATGGAGCTGATGTAGCTAAACACTGCGTACCTTCAGTCCCCACAAAGAGGTACCCTCTAAAACTCATTTGGTTAATCTTAATCTTTATCGTTTAAAACACACTATGGTGTTTATCTCATCTGCCTGATCCTGCATGTGTTTTTTCTTTTGGTCTCCAGAATATCCATCACGTTCAGAAAGATGGATGTAAAGAAATGGCCTGTTGGTTATGCTCCAGAGCCTGATCTGCAGGGGATAGAACCATTGTCATTTGAAGTAGACAAGACAAATTATAATAGGTCAAACTCTCCCAAGTCAGAACAGCTTTGGAGAAGGCGGCCCATTGATACAGAAGGCAAGATAGATGCCAGAAGAGCAGCCTTTTCAGAACCCCGTTACAGTAACCGGGGAAGGCGGGGTCCAGGATCTCGGCGGAGGGTGAAGGTGGATGTTGAGAGTTGAGTTACAGAGTCAGTTGCTTTATGTCAAAGGTCATTTATACTTGGTCATGGGAGCCTGCCGAACAAGCTGAAAGGAAACATGAGGCGGCTCCTGTATTCGTGAACGTTTTATAGTTCAGGAAGGTGCTTCTGAACCTCTGATTCTTTGGCTTCTCTGCTATGTAACGTAAGAGGGACTGAGAGCAATACTGGGCATATGTACACCGTGTGTTTAATAACAGCAATTGTTTGGTAGCTATTATTGGATTCAGTTTTGGGCGGCAAAACCTTTTGAACTAGTTGGGTGATAACTGATAAGTGAGTCATAGCTCATTGAAGTGCGAGCTATTGTTTGTACCCACAATTACATACTTCTCTGTAATAAAAACAGTTTTCTGCTTTAGTTCTGAAAGAGCACGGATCTAGGTGTGCGATTGAGGATCGTGATTGGTATGAGAATTAGGGATTTGGGATGAGGTAGAATTTGGGAATTAGGGTTGAGAAAAGAGGATTCCGGGCACCGGGATGGTGGCCGACGAGTTGGAGAGAGGAAGAGGGTGTTCGGCTATGAGAGAGGGAGAGAGAGAGCTTTAGGGAATAATTTTGTTGTTATTGCTTAACCTTAATCTAGGCCTAACACAGAATATATATAAACCGACTAATTCCCTATAACTACCCAAAGACTTAACCTAACCGATTTAACTCCAATAATTCCCGAAATAGCCGACATAACATAAAACGTCTAATAACCAATAAACCCCCAATAAATGACTATCTAACAAGTTCACTGTTCGGATAAAACAGGTCTTTAAAGAGGATTCTTAAAGGAATGAACCCTTAAAGTACTTCTCTGTACTAAAGCAGGTCTTTAAAGAAGATTCTTAAAGGAGTTCCCTTAAACTAATAGTAGTCACTAGATTAATCGGGGGAATATAAAATGGCAAATACAATATTCTAAATTTTTTAAAATAGAAACTTATAACAAAGGAATGGACCAAGTCCGAAATGGTCTCCAAAAATTCAGTGAAACCACTAGAGAGAGCGAGGGGAAGAGGCGGAGGGGAGTGGGAGTGGTAAGGTGGGAGAGGAAGAAGAAGAGAGAGGGAAAGCGAGTTGCGGATTGCTTAGTCACTTGGTTAAACTCCTTCCAATTTTTAGATCTGAACACATCAATTTGACGGTTAAAAAGTGGGAAGCGCTATTTAATTAATAACATGGATAGTTTGAGTATTATGGAAAATTATGAAGTATACAAACGGGACTTACAATCACTACAAACCATACAAACAGTACAAACTACAACGACAAAACATACAAATAGATTTACAAACATTACAGACGTATGAACTGTACAAACAATACAAACTAGAACGACAAACAATACAAACCATACAAAAAAGAAAAAACACCCGGTTTGACTTTGGAGGCTCCATCCCTATATAGAGGGTTCCGTCTCAAAGTCAACCCAGTTGTTTTTTAGACTACAAACATTACGAACATGGTAGACAAAAATGACAAACTAGACCAACAATCCATACAAATTGGAAAAAACACCCGGGTAGACTTTGGAGGCTCCATCCCCATATAGAGGAGTTTCATCCAAAAGTCAACCAGGTTGTTTTTTAGACATAAAAACATTACAAACATGGTTGACAAAAATGATAAATATGATGCACAAAAATAACAAAGTTTACAAACATTACAAAATAACAAAGCGTACAAACATTACCAAATAAACCGACAAACAGTACAAAGAATACTAATAGTACAAAATGTCGCTAAAAATGACAAACAAGAATGATAAACATTACAAAAATAGGTCACCAAACATCACAAAGCCAGCACTGTCGCCGGAAAGTCTCATCCGGTCAGTAGAAAAAATCTCTCTCTCTCTCTCTCTGGGGGGTTTGGGGGGCATTTGGGGAAAAAAACACCGCCGCCGCCGGGAAACAGAAATGGACGGCGGGCGGGAGGGAGCGAAACGCGGATCGGCGAGAAGGAGGTAGCTGGGCGGTTGATTATTTTTTTATTGCAAATTTTTAATAAATAAACTATGTAATTACCAACTTACCCCTCATTAAAGTAGATTAATTTGAACCATCAAATTTTAATGAACCTCAAATGCTGAGATTGACTTAGTAATGTAACTAAGGGACCTGATCTTAGCCCGGAAAACAAGAGAGGGGCCAGGGGGTGAGAGGGCAGGGTGATGCTGGGTGGGTTATGAGGATTAAATATATTTTTAAGAAAGATAGAGTTCATAATGGTCATGGATATAAATATATTAAATTTCATTTTAGGTATTAAAATTTGAAATAAATACCTTATTTGCATATCATTATATGTATTTAGAAAATGTATAAAACAGTTCAAACAGGTTGGACCATAATAAGATCATTCAATATCAAATCACTTACTTGACCGACTCAACGACTTAAATTGGTTTGACAACCTTTATATTAAATGATAATTGAAATTATTAGTGTACGTGGAAACTATTATGTTTCAAATTTTGAGAATTATTATTCTGGGTTTTAACATCGTTTAAAAAGATTTGTAACGTTTTGAGTACTATTATCAAATATTGTTACCATGACCTGTTTCAATATTAACAATTATTTTTCATTATTACTTTGCTTGATGAAATTAATAACATTCCATTAGCTGATTAATATAGTTCATGCTTTATCGAATATTTTTTTTCATTATTAACGTTGTTTCTTGATATTGTTAACTTTCATTGGTTAACACTTTAATGATACGTAAAATATAAGTTTTTATTACCTCATTTATGACATTTTTCTGCACCATTTCTCCATATATTTAGCCATTTCAATTTGGATTTGCTTGATATTTGTTCACAGGTGCGATTGATAGCATGTAGGTATGTGTTTACACATTTGATGTCATTTTAGGTATTTTTGGCATGAATATTTTAGGTATTTTTGGACATTTTCATGCCAAGGCATTGTGAAGCCTCATCATGGTATTGACTCGTTCTAACTACAACATTCGATTGACGGTCGAGTATAACCGCCGATCGAGTGTATCATAGGGCAAGAAAGCAAAAAGAACTTATCGTACCACAGGGATCTAGGCTTACCCTACTTCATGTTTAGGTTTCGTTATCTAGCCAACGCAGGATGGTGATTAGAAGAATTAAACTAACTAACCTAATTATTTACAAGGTTGGGAGCTCTCTTGGATTGAATCGTCCAAGGTTCGTTCTTTGGATCGATGTTGGGTATCCTCCTAGCTCGATCGACTCAACTACACTACCGTTTGGAGATGGACTCCCACGGGAATGACCCGGAACGGTGAATCAATGGATAGGTAGTGCTCTATTCAACCTAGGGTTTCATATAACGCTAGGAGATCGGTCGAATCAACTCACTCAGGGACTACACGGACAATATACGATAGTAGTGCCCTGAAGACGCCAAAAGGGGGCTCTAAGGGGATTTTCAAAATCGGGCTGCTCAATTAGTATGATACTGTCCGCTTTGGGCCAAGCCCACACGGATTTACTTTTGGGTGTCCTCCCCAAAAGGCCTCGTACTAATTTGGCTAGGTGGACACTAATATACAAGGGTTCCTTCCCTTGTATAACCGATGTGGTACTTGGATTGTCCCGTAACAATCCTCCCCTCAAGTCAAGGACCACGAACTTCGTGTCCTCACCTCAGCGATTATCTTGATCCGCCAGACACCTTGTATCGATAGGCTTCTCTGTACAAGGATTTTTCCAGATGCAGAAGTCTCTTTGATCTGCCAAGCCCAAACGTGAATCTCTCCTCGATCCACCAAACCAGACGCGAATCACCTTTGACCCGCCAGACAAACGCAGATCTCAAATCCCAAGGCCACCAAACGAGGGTCTACCAAACTGATGTCCACAGCCCCGGATCTGCCGAACTAGGCTCTGATACCACTTGTCAGAACAGAAGCGTGCAATCGATAATCCAAACCATCACAAACGAACACAAATTTAACGTGGTTCACTAACACAATGTGTGCTAGCTAATCCACGAACAGAGGAGAACAAATTTCACTGATTTGAGAAGAGTACAGGTTACAAACCAAATTTTAGAATAGACAAACCAAACAAACTAACCTGACTGACCTTACTACAAATTAGGGAGATGAAGAGTATTTATAGAACTCTTCTCCTATTCCCAAACAGAAAACCAAATACATTTTCCCAAACATACAAGGAAAAGGTCAAAACGAAAACCAATCCCAAACCCAAACAAAATAGGACCAAAACACCAAACAAACTCAAATCAAACTCAAGTCATATCCTAACAGGGATTATCTCCCTCTTTGGTCAAAAGTTCAATACATGAAAATGGAAACCCAACTCATGCCATTCATGAAAACATCCATCAATTAAGTAAAATCAATCAATCATGGAGTTTGTCACATACATCAACCTTAAACCCAAATCTTGACCTAGGGTATTAAACCCAAGAGAAGTGGGTGAGTTTGTAGAGAGAGAGAGAGAGAGAGAGAGAGAGAGATATTACAAAGAAATATCTAGATCTTCATCTTCATCTTCTAGACTTGATTCCTAGCTTCCAAACTTGATCAATGCCTTCCATTAACCTCCAAGATCACTCACTCTCTCTCTCTCTCTCTCTCTCACTAGAACTCCCCTTTGGTGTTTTGGGTTGAACCCCTAGAGAAAGAAAGTGTTCCTTCTCCAAAAACCAGCTCCCCCTTCTTCGTTCTGCTGCTATTGTTATAACCAGGTCGAACCCAGTTCACGGCCGTGAACACCTTAACGCGTCAGAGAACTCAGCGTCGTCTCCAAAACGCACCGCTTCACTCTCCAGGGCTCATGGTCTTAGAGACCGTGAACTGCCTGGTCGTCAGTCTGGTCGTCAGTAACCTCTATAACCTCGCTGGACGCCTCATTGTTCACAATTTTAGGTTCCAGTTCACGGTCTTGGGAGATTGTGAACTCCAATGCTAAACGGTGAACTACGGCTCCTTCATGGACGCATGTGCTTCACTATTACGGGAATTTGGACGTTTTTTTCACTTTTTGGCACTTTTTGACCGCCAATCGACCCGAAAATCGTCCTCGACCTTCCCACATGTGCTAGGACCTTGAATGTATCAAAACAAGCACAACCTAGCGTGAAATATGTTGAGGGACGATGAAATGCAAAGACAAACTATTAGGATATGAGGGGTAAAAAGTGTACAATTGGCCCCGAACACTCCTCCACACTTGAACATTTGCTTGTCCCCAAGCAAACCAAGTACAAAACAAAGTAAGCTTACAACTTCTTTTTCAACAAAGTTTTAGGGGCATGTCACAGGGCACAAAACGAATGAACCACAATGGTTATTTGACACCTACCTATGGACAAAAACAACATAATCTTGGCAAAC